AATCGTGAAAGGCATGGAACCTATTACTGAGGACTATCTTGAATTTGTTGAACTTGTCAGTATGCCGAAGAAAAGCCGTAGTAAACATTTGTGATGTTGTCCGCCTCGTTGTTCGGTGCTTCTTGAGTTTCAACTTTATCTTGGTGACCAGCAAGTGATGATCTGATGCTTTATCAGCTCCTCTCTTGGTTCTCGTACCCTCCATCGTCCTCCTAAGCTTTTTGTTGATGCAGATATGGTCGATTTGGTTTTGTGTAGTATGACCCGGTGAAGTCCATGTGGTTTTTTGTATGCGTTTGTGTGGGAATATGGTGCCGCCTATAACCAGTTTATTGAAGGCACATTGGTTTGCAAATCTCTCACCATTTTCGTTCCTTGATGTCTTCATATCCGGTGTTGTCCATTCCAAAATTGGCATTTAGGTCTCCCATGATAATGATCAAGTCCCTTGTTGGACACTTCTCGACAATTGACTGCAGCCTATCGTAGAATTGGTCTTTAACGCCTTCATTGTAGTCGTTGGTAGGCGTAAAGCATTGAATGATGTTCATTGAGATGCCCTCTCTGTTTGTTTTGAAGGAGGCTTTGATGATCCTTGGTCCATGAGATTCCCAACCTATAAGTGCATTTTGTGCTTGTTTGTATAGCATCAATACAACGCTTTGTGTATGTGGAGCTTTTCTTCTTCGTGGCAGGAGTATACTAGAAGCTCTCTTGAAGCTAGTTGTTGTTGTCCAACTTGCGTCCAATGTGATTCACTGATCCCAAGCTTCTCTAGGTTGTATCTCCTCATTTCCACAGCAATTCGGAAGACTCTCCTGGTCTCCCAAATTGTACGAGTAGTCCATGTACCCAAATAAATGGTTCCTTTGGTTGTCAAAAGGGGAATCAGCCCCATGGATTCCGAAGGAACACGGCTTTCATCATGAGGCGTCATAACTTTTCTAAACGAAGACCTTCTGGTTCCCAGGGCAGAGTTTAAGTGATTTGAATAATTTTTGCTGGTTGGAGTTTTTTGACGAGTTAGTTTTCTTCGGAATGGAGTCGCTAACCCCATGTCCAACCCTCCTCTTTTATCTCGGCTTGGGAAAAGTAGTAGCCACAGAGGAGTTCCAGGCGGAGTTTAGTAAAGAATAACATAACCACATAAACATTTTCATCGTCACAAACGACATTCATAGAGCATTAGAACCATTTTACGAGTCTTGAAGTGGCTCGTGAATCTGACTCCAAGATCGTATAAATGTTTGTTATCGCCTTTTCTCGTATATCATCGTCGACTTGAATCGCGTTATCCAATAACGGAATTGAATAAGTCGAATAACGAGAATGGCATTTGAATACATATATTTTGTATGTAAAGTGAATGCGATAGAACAAAACGAAATGACGCGCAGGGAAGATGGCTTGGAAGCCAACTCCCATTCAAGCCGAACATTACTCAATATTTATAGGCAGACAAAATGAACTACAGACATGTGATGAGTCATGGGACATCTAGTGTACATACATATACGCTCACATGAATACAGTCAAGGCTAACAAGCGAATAATTAACAAGGTCAAAACATGACTCAAGTAGAATGAGTAGAATGGAATGTCCGGAAACTAGAATAAGATATATAAGATATGGGCTAAAACGAATGACTAACACTACAGTCTGTACGAGATGTAGGCAGCGCCAAGACAGTTATTGCCAATAAATCAATTAAATTGATTACTTCATCAACGACTGGGTAAAAGTGGCTTTGCACGATAGCAGTGCAGAAATGGAGTAAGTAAATTAATTGCCCAACATAACCACCTGGAAGCATTATTCACACAGACCCTAGAGATACTGTCGTCACAAAGGTTTCTATACAAATGAGATTTCTCATTGCTTCATATTTCATACATAAAAACCCAGATAATCATTTAATGTTCATTAGTTAGTAGATGTTACTTTAACTCCACTGTTTTAAATCTAGCATCCCTCCCTATGGTCCTGAAGACACTAATCTTGGGATTACTATGATTTTGTGAAAAGGTGATATAAAGAGATAACTTGATTTTGTATCTCATCGCTTGAAGACCAATTTGCTTTGAATTTCTTATTTATAAGAGCGTGAGTTCCATCTAAAAGTTAGGTTCACCATTATGTCTACGTATGAAATAATAAAGATTTCACTGCATGTTCTTGTATAGAAGAGAATATTCAACATCTCATCATTTGGCAATCTAAAATCAGTCTTTAATCAGTAAGAATATATTCACAGTATTCATTCTTCAAATTGTTTAGCATACCATATCCAAGTTCGTGGAGTTAATTTACTCAAAAATGAAACTGAAGCATTCATGAATTGTCACTGTAAACAAATGACATTTCATAAGAATATGTAGTCATTTCACATGGAATATCCGTCTCACAGCTATGAACGGATCCTTTCAGACGGTAACTGAAAATTTTATCTTTCATGTGAACACAATTGCTGTTCTAGGATGAGAAAGTCGCTTTCAAAAATGCTCCGTTGGTGTCCGATATAAACCCTTATCCAATCATACGCTTCACTACATATACTGACGTATTAAAAACATCCGTCAAGCTAGTTTTAGAACAGCAGATGAACGGTAATACCACACAAGTAACATTTCGCTCGGAAAGGTAAGACTCAACGGGAACAAAACGTAGTACAGTAATACAAGAGTGTCTGCCTACTTTTTGACAAGCATTCCAACCACCTACTACAAGATATTGGGTACACTGGTTTGTTTGGTTGCAAGTCGTTGTACTATTTATTCAACAGTTCATCTCAACAGAACTCATCAAGTGGAACTAGACAGTTTGACCGTACATAGCAGCTTAATCGGCATACACTTAAAAAAAGAGTACAAATGAATAAGTTGTTAGAAGTGATTGCGTATAATTCATCAAACCAATTAATACTCATCATGCAGGATTTATACAATTCACTCAAAACCATACTTAGTCTATTATCTTATGTTATATCTAGAACTTAAATTTTTGTCATACCGCGTACAACTTGAGCACTAGAACGCTTGAACCCTCCAAGTCGCAATTTTGAAGAGATAAGACGAGAGGAGAGGAATCTTATTCCAACCAGTGTCAAATATCGTACATAACACTCAGGTATTGATACTTTTTAGTAAAAACAGAATCATCATTACAATAATCCAATTCGCATGCAGTAGCTTTTAGTATTTGTCCAATTGACAAGCTACATACCAGAATTCTGGGACGCTTTTCCAAACGACGATTGGATGGAATGACTTCGGCTCTTTTAGAGCCTCCTTGAGTTCACTGAGAGCCATCCTCACGCCTCATAAGTGGCCAGCACGGAAAAGCTCAAAATGACAAAAGCCTGAAAATAATCGACATCTACTGTAGAGTAACTATAATAATAATGAACTCACGGTAAGTACTAATCCATCCTATCCCATCTCTTTCCATTCAAACAGCAATATAGGAACTAATTATTTTATTGATGATTAATCATCTGTTAGTTGTAAAAGTAGCAATGTTCGAAATCGTGTCATCAATCTACGTAGTAGTAGCAGTAGCATTAAATATCAAGGACTTATACATCAATTAAGAGAACGAAATATCATTAGTTCGACTAATAAGTACTAACAACACTCGACTCCACACCCTTCACCTATTCTAAGAGAAGAGACCTACGTTGGCTATCTACTATAAACCCATAAGATAAGAAAAGACCGTAAAAACTTTAATTATTCAGTCATTATTACTAATTGCTTAGTATTATGCTGTCTTTCGATAAAATAAGGCTATAAGCATATGACAAGAAACATCAAAATAAAATTTTCCGCTCCTGTTAATTTTCTTGATTTATCCACATTCATAAAGTGAATGATTGTATTGAACATGAAAAAACTAGGCAAAATGTACAAGGTAACAGAATTTTCTATAAATAATGAAATGCGATTTTCCGTTTTTTACTTTAAAAAAAACCTGTCTAAACGATCAGACGAATGAAACAAAACTTCTAAAAAAAGAAAAAGTCACTTAACAATACTATGCACTCGATCATAACGACAGCTCTCATTTCACCAATCTCCACAACGAAATAAATAAATAATTAGCATCCATGTATTTGTGACCGAAATCTTATATATGAAATACTCTTAGCTTGTATACAGAAATTAAGACGAAAGTGTACTTAGAGAACCACATAAAAATGTTAACTAATATCAAAGTCCATCTATCTTACACACTAAATGATTATACGATACTAAGAACAAATTACCAGTCTGCTGATCTTTAACTCCTGAACACAGTGGGGTTGATACATAACCTCCAACTTTTGAAGGTTGCAGTTCAGGATCTTTGGTACTGTCTGCACTAAGATCCAACTGACTTCTTTGAGATCTGGAATGGACGGCTGATTTAATATTCGTTCGTATGATATTATGATAAAAAGTGTGAAAAGGTTATTTTTAAGTACTAATGAACAGTGAACAAAGATAACATTTTCTGCTCTTCAGTTACGTAAAAGATGGAGAAATCAAGTCTTAGTCGGAAAATTTATTAGATAAGCGAAAAAATTAACTAGTTATTCAGTTGTTGCATATACATTCATTGGCAACGACTTTGTAAAAAAATTAATAAAGTCGTTTACCAAAATCTGCAGTCTAAAAACCAGAGACTACATTGAACAGCAGAAAGTAATTAACGGCATGTAGCGCGTGTAGGTTTGGAGGCTAAACATTAGTTTGATATTGTGCAAAATAAATTACAATAATGGTATCACGAGTGGTTTTTAGCGAAATGGACATCCTCATCAATCAGGAATTAGACGAATAGGTTTAAAAATTATCGCATACACCTAAATACTTTTAGGGAGAAAATAATACATAGAATAACAATGAATATTTGAATACTCTCCAAAATAATAAAGAATCGAGAAATACAGTGTACATTAACCAACATTCCCCTACTACTATGTTGATAAGTTTATATCTCTCAGAAATTCTTTTTGATCTCATACCCTTTGAGTTGAATACATTTCACTGAAAAAACAAAAACACTCACAATTAATGAAGGGACATTGTCTAGGTAAATTAGTTCTACTAACTGAGTTAAACCATGTGGAAACATGATGTACATGTCCACCATGACTACATAGTGGACACACTAACACAAGTCCTTTGCAGCTATTTCGGCATACAGTACAGATTAACAATCTCTGCGGTTTCTGAGGGCCTGTAGTAGATTGCTGATTCTCCAAATTCACCTCCCATTGACAATGTGTACACTGTGCAGACTTAAGAGATCCATTGCAGTGTTTAGGAACCAAGTTAGAGCTGCATCGCATGTCTGGACATGAAAGTAGAATCATAGCATTTGTTTGAACGTAAGGCCATATGTGGGATAATGAATTTGGACGAATATTGTACGACCAAGATCGAAGAAGATGAGCGTGTAAAATGTATTCGCGTAGAGAGTAAATAATGCTAGCGTAAACATAAATGTAGTGATCGAATGAAAACAAATCCTTTGGATGCACAAATCTAAAACATACAAGGATTAGGGAAATAATAATTAAATATTTACTAGCTCAAAGATAAAATAATATTGAATTTCAAAGAAGTGAAATGTGTTTAATAGAAATAAAAAACCGTATCTCTAAAGTTTGATGAATTTATTATGATAAAGTAAGCAACCTCAAGATTGAAGAAACTCAGTAGTTATAATGCTGATAGCATTGGATTAAATCAAAAGGAATTTATAAACGGTCTAAAAAGTAAATTATACTGATAAATATCACAAAATTCAGAGCTGATGATGACAGACATATCACACTACAGCATAAAGACGGTATCATCAACCAAGTAGGTTGAGGATGTAATGATTTTGTATACGTCTATGTGGATTTATCCTTAATCAAACATATAACAATGGTAATAATAATAATACTTCAGGCAACATTTTTATCATCCTAATAATTCTATGCTTCTCAGAAATAATTAAACGTGTCCTCGTTAATTATATTAACCGAATTGTATATCTTTATATATGGGCTGTCTGTAAGTCTGTACATACTTACTTATCTGATAATCCAAATAACGCACATTTACTGTTCTTACTGTATGATTGCTTCTACGAACGCACCAAATATATGTATCTCAAACACACTCGTTTTTCAATTTCTAGCGTCGCGTAGTTATAAAAGTGTTGAGTCTAAGAATATATCCGAAAAAACACAAAGCGCGGAAAATCCAAGAAGTGATACCGACCTAAGAGGTCATTGGCTTTCGTTTTGACTCCACTGAAATTCTTGGCGATATCATCCCGCTTTACTGAAATGACTTAGCGAAATGGCAAAGTTTGTGACAAATCCTAGATTTGATGTCTGACTGATTGCCGTTACAATCACATGTACTCAAAAAATCCAGATGAAGGAGGAAATGACTCATGTCAGGTACCAAATCAATAGGAAAGTCCAGTTCTTAAATACAAGGTGAATTGATAGAGGATCATACGGAAAACTTTGAGGAAAAAATAGCAAGCATAATACCATTATGTTTAATCTACAAGAACAACCAACCTTGATTGATAAGCACAAATTGATTTGATCGATAATTCCTTTGGAGGAAGTTGTTCTATTGGACAACCGTTCATATTTTCATTTGACTGGCCAGATACCAAACTAAATTCACTCTGTGTTTCATCAGAGTTATCTAAGGTAAATGACACTTGTTGTTCTAATGAAGAACTGGCAACTGTATTGCACCCTAAAAGATTTATTGTCTTTTCTGACTCATTCATGTGATATAATGAATATGTCTCCAAAAAGTTGTTCACAGATGACAGTGAAGTAATAGCTAGCATAAAAAGTAACATTTTCCTATCAGATTATATCAAATAACCATTAAAATAAAAATATTGTTTGAGTGTACAAATGACTTGATAATGGTGTTCGATTAATTAAAGATCCATAAGTTACTGTTCATAGAGAGATAGGTGAAGAGGGACATATTTCTAGCTAGAACAATATTTTATTTAATTTTGGCTTACAAAATTCGCAAACCATAAATAAAAACAAGAGCACACCCATTGGCTAACAATGAAAATGGTATAACTTCTCATCAGGGATACGTACCCAGATATAGAAAGGTATTTAAGATGTATAGTTTGTCTCAGACAATCACTAAATATTACTTATGAAAATCATTAAATGTGTTGATACAAGAGGGTTATTTATGGATCTGCTGAAGCTAAAGTGATAGATGCATTAGAAATTTATTCACTGAAAACGGATATTTGGCTGAATAGCTCGTTAATATATTGATATATGTAACAGACTAACATTGTCATTAATTATACTGCTGAAACAATCGGTATACTCTGTTGAGGAAAATTACATGAAAAGTGGTAAGAAGAAAAGGAGCTGATATAAAACTACTAGCAACTGCATTGCAACAAATCGTACTACGGACTAGATAAGGCAATGACCAGCATCAAGTATTTCCCATCAACTTTAGTGTTGAACAAAAACACAGAGATAATATAATTTTGTCGCATTACTGACGCTCGTTTTGAGGTTCTTTAAAATATGTAAAGAAATAATATGCACAACAAATGCTAGTTTTATATTTGTGGATTAAACTTCTCAAGCAAATGCCTCTTTGACTTTGGGGTTATTCAATTCTAGTCTGCCCGATTTCTTCATTAATCAAATAAGTTCTAGTTAACATGTATGAGAAGCCTAGAATTATTGTTAGTCAATGTAATTTCAATATCATTGGAGTACCATCCAAATGTTATTAGCATTTCTATTATCAGATTATTAGATTTAACAGTTACCTAGACCATTCCACTTAAAACGTTTGTAGGATCTACCTCTACAAAATATCCCAGTAATATCGGCATAAAACTGCACAACTTACTGTTCTCGAGTTTATTTAGTGAAATATTTGAGCCAACAACTTTGTCGAACTGAAAAAAATAAAAGTGTTTAGTTGATTGTAATGAAGGAATCATCAAATGTTGTAGAGCATTTAAATATAGTAACTCGTATTAGTTATCGACAGTTTTGATAAATATTGGTGCGAAATATAAAAATGATTGGATTAATGAACACAAAAACACTCTAATTTTTTGCTTTCCGATTCAAAATGTTATTGATTAAAAAACTAAGAGAAATTAGCGATGAAAAACCTTTTTGATATTTTACGATTTAGGAACTAACTGATAAACTCCATAGATATGTTAAAACCTATAATAGCATATTTTATTCCCTTATAGTAGATGTGCACATATAAACCAAAACAATTATTAATAATATTCAGATCAAACAGTGTTTTTCTTTCACTGCTATCTTTGAAAGTATATTTTTGAATGCCTAATTTAGGTTTTGATACATCAGTTCTCAACATATTAAACATAAAATGCGGAATTAATGTAAGTATGCGAACAAGCTCTTGATGTGATCATATCTGGCGAAGGCCAGATATCCGTCTATCAATAAAAGGACGAGTATACTGTGCAGCAGTTCGTTCTGTTTTACTTTACAGCTGCGAAACGTAACCAATAAGGGTGGAAGAAACTCGTAAGATACTTGTGTTTGATCCCAGATGTTTTAGAAATATTGCTCGCATCTGCTAGGATCACCGGGTAAAAAACACTGAGGTTAGGCGCAGGGTATTAGGGAATGATGGTAAATCAATTGATGAGGTTGTAAATCTTCATCGACTGAGATTGTTGGGCCACGTGTTACGTATGCCTAAACACCGATTACCACGACGCGAAATGTTGACTAGTGTTGAAGATGGTTGGAAAAAAGTTAGGAGCAGCCAAACCAAAACGTGGCATCAGTCATTGAAGGCATTCACTTCCAGTCTGAGTCATGTCGGTAGATGCAGAATACTTTGTTGGGTCCACGTGACTATCGTAACCAATAGTTGGAGACTCTGGATAACATGGCTCAAAATCAATCACAGTGGAGTAGGTGTATACACTCTCTGTATTCCCTTCAACCGTGAGACTAAAATCCCTTTCTATCTTTCTTTCTTTCTACCAACTAATTCTTTCTTTCATATATTGCTAACATTGAAGTGACTACTATGAATTCGGTGTTCATCTTGTTGTGCTAATGAGGTATGGCAAGTTGGACCGATGCATATATGTGCCTGGTTCTACGTTGTAGCTGACTGACTGAATTGAACAAGGAGAAACACCATGACACCAACCCACTTAGATTAGTAGTTACATTGTAAGCTTAGCTGATTCGAATTCACGATTAGCAGTAATCACTTGATAACGTTAAACTTATTGATATTATGCAATGGCTACATGCAAAGAAATTTAATCATATAATCTATACATTTTACAAATACTCTATAAAACAACTTCCTTAAACGTTTAATAAAAGTTATAGCAATAATAATATTAATATAAACAACAAATGTTGAATAAGGATAAGATATAACTGAAAACTTCTATCTCACTATTCTGGTGAAGAAAACCAAACAAACAGAAGGGTTACAACATGACAAGATATTATTCGTTAGTCCAAGTTACATCAAAACTATTTTTTTTTACATAGTAACTACAAAATTTTACAAATTTAGCGTATTTTTTTCACTTTAAGAACAGAAAGCATTAAAGATACCAATTAATAAAATCAGATAAAAATGCAAAGAAAAATCAATGACATTAAACTGGACAGGCTTATTCAATATTCTAAAAATGAACAAAACAATACAATTTATTAAGCCATAAATAGCAATGGTAATTAATGTTCATAACATGAAAATTAAATAACATAGTAATCAATGGCTTAATATTGAATAGAATTTTTTTTAAAAAAACTTGCCTTCAGTTCATTGATATGATTTAAACTTTGAAGTACAAGAACCAACATTGCCAAGCTTTGAACATCATGTATACGAAGGAAATGTCGAATCCTGTATTGAACAATGAACGTTTTTTTTAAAGTGACAACAATAATTTATGTAAATCACAACAACAAGAAAAAAACAACAAATAGAAACAACTGAAAATAAGAATAATTTGATTCATATAGAAAAATAGTAAGTTCTGATTATAGACAGCAATCATAATTTTTTACAAAGTACATTTCATTCTAAGAATCCATTTGGCTTGGTAAATCAATATTAAGTAATAATTAAAAAGTTACAATACAAAAGAAATGACTATTGTCAGTTAGTAGCTTATAAATGATATTTCGCCGTTTAAGTTCAGGTTGGAGAAGAGTGAAAAGTGACATCAATAATTTTCAAATACAACTAGCCAATAAAGTATTTCACCACTATGAAATTGTATGTCGTCAAAATATAATGTTGGCCAAACTCATTCATTCAGAGAAAGAAAGAACAAGAAGACAGCAATTAACAACAGCCGAACACGAGCAGAGAAAGTCCAAGAACAAGCTGAATACATAGAAGCAAACAAACAAGTGAAGAAGAGCATTACAGCCAACAAGAAGTACGTGGAAGAACTAGCAACGACCGCGGAAAAAGCTGCAAGAGAAGGAAATATGAAACAGCTTCACGATACAACGAAGAAACTAGCAGGGAAATACAAAAAAAACAAGAGAAATCGGTCAAAGACAGAGAAGGCAGGCCAATCACTGAAATTCAACAACAGCGAAACAGATGGGTAGAATACTTCGAGGAACTCCTGAATAGGCCGGCTCCAATGAATCCACCGAACATCGAAGCAGCACACACAGATCTTCCTATAGATGTCAACCCACCAACGACGGAAGAAATTAGAATGGCCGTCAGACAAATCAAGAACGGGAAAGCAGCAGGACCCGACAACATACCAGCTGAAGCACTGAAATCAGACGTCGAAGTAACCACAAGCATGCTTTACCCTCTATTCAAAAAGATTTGGGAGGAGGAACAAGTGCCAATGGACTGGAAAGAAGGACACCTCATCAAGATTTCAAAGAAAGGAGATCTGGGCAAATATAAAAACTACAGAGGCATTACACTATTGTCTGTAAAAGAGAAAGTCTTTAACAGAGTGTTGCTGAACCGGATGAAAGATGCAGTAGACGCTCAACTTCGAGATCAACAAGCTGGATTCCGTAAAGATTGGTCGTGCACAGACCGAATTGCGACAATACGGGTCATCGTCGAACAATCAATTGAGTGGAACTCGTCACTGTACAGCAACTTCATTGATTATGAAAAAGCATTTGACAGTGTAGATAGGAGAACGTCAAGGCAGTTCCACTGTACAGAGCTGAAACATGGAGAACCACAACAACCACTGTCAAGTAGGTACAAGTATTTATAAATAGCTGTCTACGCAAGATACTCAACATCCATTGTCCCGGTACCATCAGCAACAGCCTTCTGTGGGAGAGAACAAACCAGTTTCCAGCTGAAGAAGAAATTAAGAAAAGACGATGGAAATCGATAGGACATACATTACGCAAATCGTCAAACTGCATCACGAGGCAAGCTTTAACTTGGAATCCTGAAGCGAAGCGGAAAGGAGGAAGACCAAAGAACACATTACGTCGGGAAATCGAAGCAGATATGAAAAAGATGAATAACAACTGGAAGGAGCTGGAAAGGGTTGCCCAGCACAGGGTTGGATAGCGAATGCTGGTGAGCGACCTATGCTCCTTGACGAGGAGTAACAGGCGTAAGTAAGTAAGTAAGAATTCATTCATTCATTAAGTGAGTCAGTCAGTCAGCTACAACGTAGGACCAGGCACATATATGCATCGGTCCAACTTGCCATACCTCATTAGCACAACAAGATGAACACCGAATTCATAGTAGTCACTTCAATGTTAGCAATATATGAAAGAAAGATTGCATATAAGGATATAGTACAGGAAAAAAGAATTAGTTGGTAGAAAGAAAGAAAGATAGAAAGGGATTTTAGTCTCACGGTTGAAGGGAATACAGAGAGTGTATACACCTACTCCACTGTGATTGATTTTGAGCCATGTTATCCAGAGTCTCCAACTATTGGTTACGATAGTCACGTGGACCCAACAAAGTATTCTGCATCTACCGACATGACTCAGACTGGAAGTGAATGCCTTCAATGACTGATGCCACGTTTTGGTTTGGCTGCTCCTAACTTTTTTCCAACCATCTTCAACACTAGTCAACATTTCGCGTCGTGGTAATCAGTGTTCATTAATATAGACATAAAGAAAAAGATGGTATTGTACGAGGGGATATGAAAAGAAATTAAGCGACATCATAAACAAGCTTTACAAAACTACTTATTTAAAAGAAATTATTTAGGTGAAAGTCCTTCTTCACTTTGCTTCATAGTTCTTTTGGGTCTTTCGTCTGTATCTGGAAACAACAGTTGTAAAATATACAAGATGATTCCATCGTTTTTCATTAAGTTACCGTAATTCTGTTATCATAAAGAAGTTTGATTATATTGAGAAATGGTCCATTTTCTTTGATAACAATTGTGTTTCCATATGGCATAATTTCTAATTTTTCTCGATAACATATCGTAAACCCATTCTTATCAAAGTGCTGCATAATACTAACACGTTAACAACTAAGTACATAGTAAGTAATATCTAACGAAATTTAATAAATGGGAATAATGATTCTCAGGTATTATAATCTAAACCTTATTTACTACCAAAAGTAAGTACACACAGTTTTTAGTCCTTTATCTTCAAGAGTGGCACACAATTATTGTCATTAGATATGGCTTTTAAGTCAGATATTTACCACATTTTAGATAATCACTAGAATCAATCAACTCATTTAGTGTCCAAACTCTGCGTTGCTTTTCTTTAAAGATTCAAATCAATAAACGGGGATTTTTTAAATTATCATAAGTATCTATAAATTATTGAAAACTACTTACCATGTATCAAATAACGGTCTACCAATTAATTGTGAAGCTAAAGGTTGATAAACTTGGTGAGAATGATCTGTGTGACTAAGTGAGATCGACATAACTAGAGCATATTGCCAGAACTAAGTTAAATGATGATAAAAACAAAGAAAACAGTAAAATGCAAAAAGAAAATCTACGTAAATAAGACAAATAAATATATAAACTAAAGGAATCCTTTGAGCGTATTCAGATGGTGGATAGAAGTGAAATACGGGATACAATCTCATCTTACGTGGGATTCATCAGCTAGATGCCCTGTGTTATTCACACGGAGACTCTAAACTAAGACCCAACACTCCTTCAAACGGCTTCCAAATAGGATGAAACACGTGCCTTTGATTCCACTGTTAACCACAATAAGAATACACTGAAAAACTATGGTTAATGAGCAGTATTGAGGCACTCGTTCATGGTAGATCTTTATGGTTAAAGATTGATCATTCTTAGTCCTGAAAATATTAACTATCACTAAGAAAAATTAATGTTTTAAGAAATAAAAAACGGGTGTAATTCTAAAACCAATACCTTTTCTTATTAAAAATTTACTAACGATTAAGTATATCTACAGTCTGTACTCGTTAGAGATTGATTTCAGTTGTGTTACCATCAAAAAACCAAATGGCATTGGATTGCTATTTCGACCTAGTAAGGGACTTCTCAGAAGTGAGCAACCACGAACCCTCCATCTATCGTACCTAGAACAACGAAGCACTGAGACATACGATTAACATTTGGAACCATTGCGTAGACATCCAATGATACAATCCTAACGCCAGTGAATTCGCGATTTAGAGCGGTGATCAACCAATGGTGTTGGTAGCGACTGCCTTATTCCCAACATGTTTGAACTCTATTACTCACGACTATTAATTAGAATTTCAAGAGCATTTTGAAGTAAGTTATTAATTAGCAGAATATCTTAGCCTAGTTAAAAGTTTTCATCAGTAGTACTGGATGAACTTCGTGATATGTTCCAAACTGATTGTATTTGGAGTTGTGCCATTAGAAGCCACGTCAGTGGTTTTATTGATTAAGAATTTGCCGGAAAATGTTATGGTCCTGGATCTGATTCATCTGATTCGCTTCCCACTGCTGAAGGGATCCATACTAAGATAAAACAACTATCCCTAGATGTAACGAATACAACTTACTAATTAGATTGACTTCCATAAAACACATTTATCGATTTAAATACTACTTTAGTTATTTGTCTCATCGTAACAATTTATAAGATGTTTAAGGACTACTTTAAATTATATTGTTGTACCTAAAATGGATAAATAATAAAGCTAGACAGGGTAAACACATTGATAAGTTAAATTTATCTCTTAAAACTCAGAGAATAACTCAGCATGGCACAACCCATCTGAAACTAGAACCTACAACACTTCGCTTTAAACATAAAGTCTTACTAACTAGATTATGAAGTTGCATAAGTTTTATGTTTAATACAATCAACGGTAGTATTGATATGGTTGTATACAAAAGTAAAATATTACAAATTATTAATCAATTCAGTGTTATGAATCTCCAATTGAATGTTCATTTGAAGGAGATATTAGGATTTCTAGTTAAAAAAAACTACAACTTCAACGTTATAATCAGAAAATTAAAGTCCTACTGATAATGATATTAAAGCATTACTACATTAAGAAATAAATATCGAAATTAAGAGATATCGGTGTAACAAACATACCAAGTCCTTAAAACGTTTTTTTTCTATCCAATTGAAGAAGTAAATAAAAGGAAAATATAAACATAAGTTTCATATTTGCTATCAACCATCAACGAAAATGTAAACTAATTCTTGACAAAACCCATTCGTTATCACAAATGATAAAGATATCATCCATATACCTTTTATATAAGTGGAGGTTCTCTATAATTCTTTTAAGTTGGTTGTTTTCTAAACTGGTCATGAAGCAATCTGCCAGTAATGGACCAAGTGCATTTACCAATTTACCTGCTCTTGTGGAGCTAGGTATATAGGTCGTTCGATGCGTACTTTATCCAAAAGAATTCAAGAACATTGTCCGGTGTGGCTAAGAAGAGGAGGCAGCGGCTCAATAAGAAGTTCTATAATCGAACACCTTGTGAACACAGGTCACTCAATCAAGACAGACTCTGCGTTCAAAGTCATCTACAAGGCAAGTAGAAGCCCTCCTAAGACAATTAGACTGCATCTTCTTTGCATTGCCGAGGCAATAGCCATACATTTTGAAAAATCAGAATTATGTGTACAAAAGAGACTGGTACAACCTCTTCTTCTACCATGGTCTTAATGTATTAAAATTTTTCTCTTTCTCATTACTCTTGTTCTTTTACAACCACCTGCTTCACCTTCCATCTTCCCTTCAAATCCTGTACCCTCAATCGGTTTGTTTTTATTTCAATGATCATTCCGATTACATTTCATCTTTGTTTCAACATTTTATGTTATTTTAGCATGCTGAGCTACTCTTACCCGATGAATATCTAAGCCATTAACTATCAAACTTTCCTTGTTTAAAAAAAATTTTTTTCTAATACCTTTGTTTATTTAACCTCACTGTCACCATGTATATCATAAGTTTATTATCAGTATTATTATCACCCTGTAAAAATAAGTATCTATATTTGCGATTGTACAGCTTTGAAAATGAATTCGCCGAAAAGAGAACTCTTCGCTGAACTAATCTTTCTTTCTTATTTAATGTCATAATGGGTGTATTCCGTTTATTAAAAAATTCCAAGGACCCTTCAACAGTAAAGGAACTTAATGAGTTTCTGCGTTTTTCTGTCAAACTTGCGGAAGTGAATGCGAAGATTACCTTTCTTAACGATTGCGTTAAAATGCACAAATATCCTAAATACTACTGGAAAATTCTTCAAAGAAACCATATTTATCCAAACTCGAAATCTCTTAAACGCCATGCACAAAATGTTATTGACTCTATTCGTCCTCGCATTCCGTTATTGGAACTTAACATTTCACAAAGATTTCCTGTATTATATGAAATATCACCTAACAAACACAATCTTTTCACCGATTATGTTACCATAGTTATCAACAAACGCACAAAAAACTTAATATCAGATCTCACTAAAAGTTTAAAAACTACAGAAACACAGCACAACTTTTCTAACAACCCTGAGAGATATGTGTTTAATCATTTTTCAATATCGTTGACAAATGTACAATTAGAAGCCTTATCTTTGGGGATAAAATTTTGCGACATAAATGAAAAAGTTAACAAAATCAACACACATGTTCAATTCGAAAACTTAATCAAACAAACAAATGGTTTTAATCCAATCTCTGATCAAGAATTCCAACGTTTCAAATCTACTCTTCTTGACAGCTGCAACCAATATATTAGCACAAAAGTAACAGGCAAAAGTCTACTAACAAAAGAACATAGAAATCAAATAAAACTACTTAGAAATAATAAAGACTTGATCATAACACGTCCAGATAAAGGTTCTGGTTTAGTGCTGCTAGATCGCAAGGATTATGTTGAAAAAATGGCAACGTTGTTATCAGATGACACCAAATTCTCAAAACGCAACAATGAGAAAAACAAGACTGAAATTATAGAAAAGCAACTAATTGACGTCCTTAAGAAAATGAAAAAAAGAGCAGTTAATCAACGAACAGGTATTTGAGCACATTAGACCAACAGCATCGATAATACCGCGATTATACAGTTTGCCAAAAATACACAAACCTGGCCTACCTCTTAGACCGATTCTCGATATGTCTGGATCCCCTTACCACCCTATAGCAAAGTGGTTGGCGAATCTCTTAGAACCCGTTAGAAAACTCATTTGTAAACATTCTGTACGTGATACTTTTGAATTTATCGAGCACATAAAAGAAGTGAATGTAAGTGGCAAAATTATGCTATCTCTGGATGTGGAATCAATTATGTAAAAAATGAACAGGAAGTCTTTCACTAAACATAGAAAAATATAATAATATAAAGAACAGACTGTATACCATAAGTAATACAAAATAAGTAAATATATGCTTACTCGAATAAGATCCTTTCGATGAGTATTAAAAACTGCATGAAGATTGTGAATGCACATCTGTTGTAAATTTTCGGTGTTTAAGCTATACATATATTTGAAGGTCAAGACAAATGAATGAATTATCATGGATTCATTAAAATAATATTTATGAAAATAATACTTTGCAAGTATATTTTCTGTATAAAATCATAAAGCAGAAAGACAAGCTTTGAAATCAGTTGCACTGGAGTAGATGAATTTATTCCTTAACTAAATCTTAAGTTTAAGTGTTATTTCATATATAGTGAACTTTGATTTCACTCTTTCTATGCATATATTTCTTAGATTATTAATAATATCCATATTTTGGCTAACTTGCTGTTCATATCTTAATGATTTCCTATTACTGTAGTAGACTGCTGGCTTTAGACCTGGTCGTGGCTGCATCGACCACATATTCACCATTCGTCAGATTCTAGAACACAGGCATACCTATCGGCGTCCGACGATGGTGGTATTTCTTGACTTAAAAGCAGCATTTGACTCGGTAGACCGCGAGACTCTGTGGCAGTGTCTGTCATTGAAAGGCGTACCTCAGAAGTACATAAACCTTGTGAAGGTTCTTTACTCGAACACTACTAGTCGAGTCAGAGCTTATGGCGAACTATCATCTACTTTTGCAACCTCAAGTGGTGTCCGTCAAGGCTGTCCACTTTCTCCATTTTTGTTTAACTTCATCATAGACCTATTGATGGAAATAACATTCTCGTCCACTGAATTCTCGGGTATTGATCTCCTACCAGGAGGTCCACTTATCGACTTAGAATACTCAGATGACATAGTCCTGTTTGGTGAAGACGCTGATAAAATGCAGAGTCTTTTGGTAGCACTAAGCAACAATGCCAGAATGTTTGGGATGCGCTTCTCTCCCTCGAAATGCAAGTTGTTGCTTCAGGACTGGTCTGCGTCAACACCTGAAATAAGGATAGGGAGTGAAGTAGTCGAACGCGTTGACAACTTCACTTATCTTGGAAGTCTGATCAGCCCTAATGGGTTGGTGTCTGACGAAATCTCAGCACGGATTCGAAAAGCTCGTTTGGCTTTTGTCAACTTACGTCACCTGTGGCGAAGGCGAGATATCCGTCTATCAATAAAAGGACGAGTATACTGCGCGGCAGTTCGTTCTGTTTTAATTTACGGCAGCGAAACATGGCCCTTAAGAGTAGAAGACACCCGTAAGCTACTAGTATTTGACCACAGATGCCTTAGAAATATTGCTGGCGTCTGCTGGGATCACCGAATTAGTAATAGTGAGGTTAAACGCAGGGTATTAGGGAATAATGGTAAATCAGTTGATGAGTTTGTGAATCTTAATCAACTGAGATGGATGTGCCACGTGTAACGTATGCCTGAACACCGATTACCACGACGTGCAATGCAAACCAGTGTTGGAAATGGTTGGAAGAAAGTAAGGGGCGGTCAAACCGAAATGTGGCATCAGTCCTTGAAGTCACTAACTTCTAGTATGAGCCACGTTGGCAGATGCAGACTACTTGGTTGGGGTCCGCGTGACTTTCGTAACCTATGGTTGGAGACTCTGTGTGACATGACTCAAAACCGATCACAATGGCGTAGGTGTATACACTCTCTGTCTTCCTTTAAACTATGAGATTAAAATCGCTTCATATCTTTCTTTCTACATACTAGATCTTTCTTCCTATACTATATCCTTATTGCAACCTTTGACCTAACCACTCCTATGAATCCGGTGTCCATCTTGTTGTGTTAATGAGGTATGGCAACCTGGACCGATGCACATATGTGCCTGGTCCTACGTTGTAGCTGACTGACTGACTGACTGTAGTAGACTGAAGTATGAGTACTTAAACTGATGTACATTTATACCACGTCCGATGTTGATTGATCACAAAGATAAATCTTTTTAAATAATGTTAGAGCAAATCAAAAGAAATTTTACAAAAACGCTCAATTATTTCTACATTAAATACTGAGTTATTATTATTATTATTAGCTTTATTCAATATTATAATTTTGGTACAATATAGAATTCTCAGCACAAAGTATTTAAACAAGTTTCCGTTTCTTTCTTCTTGGTCGATCCTGACGATAAATATTGAGTGATAGCCAGTTAGATGTTAGCAGTCCAGTAAATAAACATCTGAATAATGTATATTCTTTTCTCTGCATATTGCCAGCGACCACATTATCTCTTATTGAGCTTTTTGTAACTTTGACAACGAAAGGTTGTAAACTTTTCAGAAATGCACTAGGATGGGTTATGCGATTAATATACATAATGATATATTAAAACAAACAAAAATAGATAACTTGTTGAAATATTTAGATGACAGGAACAGGTAGCCCAGATGCTCAAGCAGGCCGCCTAATTATAGTTGAAGAATACAGACATAATTTAAGGTATTTGTTATAGACTAGTACAAACATACTATCTTACATACTATCAACGCTTCATTACTAACGTTTTGGTCAGATATTTTTGTTAAATAGGAAAAACTGTAAATAACAATTGTAAAGATAGAACATTCAGGTATTTTATTCAGATGTTTTAAGAGATAAGTTCGGTTTTACACATGACTCAATTTTGAATTACTCAATTTAATTGTTTTAAACACTTATAAGTGCTTTACAGTATAATAAAGAAAATGAACGTATGTTTATCTGACAAGAATAATGGTGACAGGATATGATAAGTTAAACAATTAACAGGCAATATTTTTTAACACAAACTAATTCACCAAGTCATATGATAATTTCATTAAGAGCAAAATTCTGAAAAGAAAAGATTTATATCATAATGAATAATAAACGACTGTCGAATTGAAATCATTCATTATAACAGTAAGAAGAATTTGAGAAAAGTATATCAAACAAGATATGTTTAAATATAATCTTACGAACCTGTAATCATACATTAAATGCCGGTCCCAAATTAAAGGGCTCATGTCATAAATTTGAATAGTAGATGGATCTGTAAAATGAACATAATTAGAGTTTTAAAGATTTACTCGAGGGTAAAAAAAGTGTGAAGAAAAAGTTAAGGGAAATTTTATTATGAATTTGCCCACAAATTGATAAAAAAAATCATGTTATTACACTTATCGGTACATACAGTTAGGTAAAAAGGATTTACTTGTGTGCAGTCAGATTTGATTTATTCACTATTAAAATTAACTTTAAGTTACTTTGTTTGCACTGGAAACATTTAGAACATATATTCCACAAAAGGAATGAATTAACCTTCGTTTTGCCCGGTGAAAAATTGCAAAAGGGAAACCTGATGAGATGTTTTAGGGCTACAAGGATGTGCTTACATAATACTAAAAACAAAGAAGTGGACTTTATGCATAATATGATAAATTAACTAGGTCACCCACAAAGTTTTTTTGGGGAAGCATGTGTTTACAGTTAACAGTTAGTTAGACACAGACTGTTCTACATAAATCTCTTTACTATAAAGCTAAAATTTAATGAAGACATAGCTAGCACTGTTTTATACAACAGACTAACTAGAATTGAGAATAGGACTTTTTATTTAGCTGATCGTTGTTCGCCACTTCCTAATCGACCAGTGGTGATCGCTTAACTAAATAATGGGATACCTGGTTTCTCTACCTTGATATGCATCTAGTAATTCAGCTACTCATGCGAAGAACTCTATATTGGAAAGGGGGGCTGCCAGACAGTTAACCAGCATCTCTCTTTCGTGATTCAAAAAAGGGTTAGACTAGGTCATGGGCAACTCCAGTAAGTATATGATGATGGTCATTTGATAGATAAAACCAAAATATTCAGTTATTTTTTGAATTTGTGGTACCACTGTCTCTATATCACTAAATGTCTCTACCATTTATTTGTTTATGTTTACCTTTTTCATATATCATTTTTACTATTTGAATACTTAAATTGATAATTCACGTAGTTCGTCTGAAGCAATTCTTTCAGGACCACAGTTTTAACAAGTTTATTCTTGCAATTTTATACATATTTCCGAAATAATAATTATTGTTATCTTACTCTTTAATGTACTTAGAATTAATACAATATCTACCAACTTACTCTCAATTTACATTTTTCACTTATTATTACTAGTTATGCAATCGGTTTCTCAATGACTCGAGAAACCCCATGATTGCTTTATTATTTTTTACATAGACATATAAATATTACTGTATATTAGAATAGAGTGGTATGAGGATTTGCTTGAAAACTAGATTATTGACTTATATGTATTGTTTCAGTAAGAAGCAAAGAAAAAGAGGGATCTACTACTTATATTCTTCATCAATAATAGATCTTGATTGATGTGATGCTTCTTTCGAACATAAGCTAGTTATTCAAACCTATTCGCGTTGTACGTGTACGCAGAACTAGAATGACTGCATATTTAGAAAAAGAAGGTCAAAATATACTAAACTACATCTTATTGGATGCATGTTTTTGTTTTAAAAAATGGTTAAAAAGCACTATCTTTTTGGACTTTTTTTCTTTAAATAACCAGAATAAAATATAAGCTCTTCCCCTATCCGTTAGGATAACTAAATAGAGATTATGAACCAAGTAATTTATTCTTTTACAAATAGCAGAAATAATTGATTGATAACCTCAACTAGAAATGTTTGTGAGCTAAACATATTGATAATTTAAGTTCTTGTATATAGTGAAAGTTATTTAATATATGCATGTGTAGTAATGAAGAATCAATGTTTACTATACAACTTTCATTAAATATTTCATAAAGTGAATGCTACATGACAACTCATACTATTTTGAATACACACTAGGATTTTTATTCCGTGCATGATGTATAGTCAGTCAGTTGGAAAGTGATCCCATCCACTTTTGACTCCTATCAAGGTGGTCAGTCAGTCAGTAACAACGTAGAACTTCGTACGTACGTACATCAATTCAAGCTGCCATACCACATTAGCACAGGGATGCAGTTGTCGATTCAAATCCCGTAGTGATAGAGGCGGTAAGAGTATAAGCAGTAATCGGATAGATTAGGGTTTGAAGATGTTATCCAAAGAGTATAATCCAGTGAAATAAATTTGGAAAGAGAAAAAAGGGACATGAAGAATTCAGAAGATTAGAATTTCGAAGAACACAAAGAGTAGATGTACCTGCGCCATTGCAAACAATTTTGAGCCATGTCATTCAGGGTCTCTAACCATCGGTTGCTATCATCTCGTGGTCCCCAACCAAGTAGTCTACACCTACCAACATGACTCAGTTCACTTGTCAGTGACTTCATGGACTTGTGCCATAATTTGGTCTGACCACCCCTAGCTTTCTTCCAACCTACTCCTATACCACTGAACATAGCACGTCGAGGCAGTCGGTCGTTGGGCATACGTAACACGTGTCCCAGCCATCTCAACTGATGAAGTTTCACTACTTCATCAATTGATTTGCCATCCTTACCTAGTACCCGTTTCCTAACAACTGTGTTACTTACTCGATGGTCCCAGGATATACGAGCAATGTTTCGAAGACACCTATGATCAAATACTAGTAACCTACGGATATCCTCTACTCTTACCGGCCATCTTTCACTGCCATAAAGTAGGACGGAACGAACTGCTGCGCAGTAAACACGTCCTTTGGTTGATAGACGGATATCTCGCCTACGACATAAATGACGCAAGTTGGCGAAAGCTAGTCAAGCCTTCTGTATCCGTACTGAGATTTCGTCACACACCAGACCACAAGGGCTGATGAGACTTCCAAGATAAGTGAAGCGATCGACACACTCAACTACTTCACTCCCTATCACTAGTTCGGGTGTGGATGTAACCCAATCCTGAAGCAACATTTTGCATTTCGAGGGACAGAATCGCATCCCGAACATGCTTGCATTGTTGTTTAGAGTGGTCAGAAGACTCTGCATTCTGTCAGCGTCTTCACCAAACAGAACTATGTCATCTGCATATTCTAAGTCAACAAGTGAATCTCCCAGTAGAAGTTCAACCCCTGGAAATCTAGACGAGGAAAGTGTTGTCTCTAAAAGTACGTCGACGACAAAGTTGAACAAGAATGGGGACAGTGGACAGCCCTGACGAACACCACTTGAGGTAATCAATTCTGATGACAGTTCGCCATAAGCTCTCACTCGACCAGTTGTGTTCGAGTAGAGAGCCTTTATAAGGTTAATGTACTTCTTTGGTACTCCTTTCAGTGATGACAAACACTGCCATAGAACCTCACGATCAACAGAGTCGAATGCCGCCTTAAGGTCGAGAAATACTACGATTGTGGGGCGTCTGAATGTGTATCTGTGTTCTAGAATCTGACGTAGTGTGAATATGTGGTCTATACAACCACGTCCAGGACGAAAACCAGCCTGATTTTCTCTAGTCTGCTCTTCAGGAGCTTTAGTTAGGCGTCGAAGTATTATTGAAGTTAATATTTTAGACACTATATTAGTCAAACTGATTCCTCTGTGATTGTCACAAGAGGACTTTTGTCCTTTCTTATACACTGGCACAATCAGTGATTGAGACCAGTCAGATGGGATAACGTCCAGTTCCCAAATTCTACCTAAGACCTCAGTTAATCTCACTGCTAATACTGGACCATCATCCTTAAAAATCTCAGGAGTAAACCTGTCAGGGCCTGCTGCTCTCCCTCGTTTCAGATTTCCTATGGCTTTTTCAACTTCGTAAAGGGACGGAGGACCTACATTAATTTGCCATTCAGGTTGACTAGAGATCGTGGGAAACCGAAGTGTGGCTGAATGCTAGTTGAACTGATCCCTAAAGTGTTCCGCCCATCGATCCAACTTCCTGGATTGAAAATGAATAATATGTCCATCTTTCTCTGAGATTGTTTCGCTAACGGTCGGGTTCCTAATTCCGGTTTCCTTAACAGGTCTGAACAATTGTCTGCTATTACCTATTGCCGCTGCCTTTTCCATCTCTCTTGCTTTCGCTACCCACCACTGTTCACGATCATTGCCCTATCAAGGTGGTAATTCATGATAAATAAATAGTTCGGTCATACCAATCATTCCAAAATTTCATGCATCCATTTAACAGTTACGACAATTTTTATATTCCATAAAAGTTGATCTTTCCAAAGTTGCGCAATGATCTCAAAGTTAATGAAATAAATTTAGATAACAAAAGTTAGGGATAATCGACTACTTGACGAATAGGAAGAGAGTGGAAAAGAAGAAAAGAGAAATTAAAAAATGATAATTATTATTCATTAATAAGGATAAAAGATTGAAAGACAATACTAACAATTGACTATTATGTAAAATAAGAAGAGATGTTAAATCTTTGGTGGAATGAAAGATTAGATAGGTTACTTCTGCGAATAGAATTTAGGTCTAAGTTTCTTTAATTCTTATTCAACTTATTCCTAGGTTCCGTGTAATTTCATTCTACCGTAATAATATAAACAGATGTAATTAGTTAAATATATCAAGAGATCTATACAAATGTAATCAATGACTGAATACTTCTAGGATAAATAATTACTGACAAGTAAGTGAATAAAAATCAATTATAGAAAATAATCAACATAAAATGATACAGGAATTATTGTTGCTTATGATAACGTAAAAACACATTACAACTATTATATATTTCTCCATATCAGTAATTTTGATAATACAATATGAAGGCGGTATAAATATGACTAAAATAAGTCGTCATCATTTAAGATAAATAATGTCAATATCGGATATATATATCCCTAGTTGTCGGCAAAGCTAACTTGTTAATCAGATATCATAGTAATAATAATAATAACTATAAAATCGTATCAATTTTCATTCATTTAAATATCTAAGTCATAATTTTTGTCATGATACACACCTACTTGAACACTCGTATATATATATATATATATAAGCAAATGTAAGCTTTTATAAGAATAGTGTACAAAATTATTTTACAAGAAACTTCATTTGGAAATCCTGTAATACATTATCAGAAAAACAGAGTAAACTTACAACAACAACAACAACAACAACAACAACAACAACAACAACAGAGAATAGCGTTGATGAGTAAAATGATGCGAAAATATGAGCTGATACGCCACTGTTAAGGTCAACTTTAAAATTTATATAAAACGTGCATATATACATTAGTCAATAGAGTAACTATAACTGCATTTCTTTTTAAAACAGATACATATTTCCTTCGATTTTCATATGTCAACTGTGATATGTAGCGAAGAAAAACAAGATAATAATATAAACAAACATGACTTACAAATCATACTGAAATGACTGAGGAATATTTCAGTTGGATTCTGGACATCAGGAGAGTTGGGATGTGTTGTTGAAATGGAATTGAACCATTTTTGTTCCGTCACACGAGTAGACTCAAACGAATTTTTCTATAACAAATAAAAATGGATAACAACGTTTTATGCACAACAAAATGCTCGACTAAATTGGCTTATTTTAATAATCATTAGAAGCTTATTTTATTAGTCATGACCCGTTCACAATACGATCCACAATTCTTTTGATTGATAATGAAATGTTTGGAATCAAGTTAACGTATGTTTCAAACTTCTTTCATGTTGAGAATGGTCAGATTTCCTAAAACAAAATGTAACACTAACAGTTTTCCGCCTAACTCTTTAAATTCTGTGTGTCTTTCTTTCTTATTTTAGTCAAATATTTTCAATTGTTAGTCATTTCTTGATCTAATGGATTTTTTTTTTCAACCCGCTAGAAATACATGATAACTATTTAGAAAACTGATGATTATTATAAACAAGTAAATTTTCAAAACAAATATCGATTTCCTTTTGCAAGCTCATTTCTTACTGTGTAAGAAAAGAGGACGTTCTCTACATTCATAGTTTATAGCATTTACTACTAAGAGTATCGAGCCTTATGTACTGAGAAATTCGTACAACTTACAAAAGTAACACATTATAACGAATTTTATCCGACATAACTGAGGAATTGAAATCTCCGAGAGTTGAAATTTCTCACATCAATCATTCTGTAATATACTCCAAAACGTAATGAATAAATGATAAATGAAATGTTATATAATACATGCAGTCGACTGTACAAAAATATTACATAATGGTTAACAAGTAATAATAGAATTTTACGAGAAAAGAAACAATATAACATATAAGCTAGATTTACTTTTACTTCAGCATCATTAGCTGTTGAATTCATTGAATTTTGGTTAAGTTCTACATTCATTTTAAAGGATAACCTATTTTTGTCAATTAATTCAGTGATAATTTTCTGTTTTTTATGAGGTTGATGCTGTTGTCGTTGTTGTTCTTTACAATCTACTTCAAATCTAGCAAATGAATCAATTATATTTCCAATACAATTCTGAAATGATCTTCTCATATCATCATTATATTCACGATTTGCTGATGAAAATCGTTGGATAAATGTTTGATATTCACTAAATGATTGTGGTGTCCAATCTTTTTTTATGTCATTATTATTATTATTTGTTAACTCTACTTGACATTTATCATCTGATGAAGTTGGTTTTATTGAATTACGTATAAATGACAAAGATTCTGGTAGACCGAATGTTACAATTAGACCATTCGTGGTAAAATGAACACCAGATGTTCTTGGGAAAGGAATACCTATTGTATAATGACATTTTTGTCTCATTGAAGCTGTTGTATCAATAATTGGTTTGTTCAGTGTATCCATATTAACATTAAGCATATCATAATTAGTAGTAGATAAATTTGTTAAGTTTAATTTCTTAGAATTATTTTCTATCTACAATAAAATCAAAAGAGAAAAAACGAATCAAAAGTAAAACTGTGAGTATGAAGACAGTGGTCTATGACAGTAGCAGAGCGACTTTTTTTATATGAATACATTTTAGTAATTATAACTCATTGTGTTCATAACATGACGGAATACAAAATGTTAATGAGTCAATTATATCCGAAACCGACTTCTTAAATCCTCCACAGATAAAATACAATGTAGGGAAGATATTAATAAGATACTTACTTGATTACTTAACGTAGGATATGTTTGTAAAGTGATCACAGAATTTCTTATACATGGTTCAACACAACCACGTGAGGTGGACACTAGTTCAGATGCAGTTGAATATAAAACCTGGTAACAGAAGAAAGTAACACAGCTACTAAAATATTTTAGAAAATACACCAACAGAAATGAGATAAAAGTTGAAAATATCTTATTTTGAGGACGATAAAACACATAATTCACATTTTCCCTAAATGAATTACTTTCTGATAGTAATTAACATTTTGATGATAGTTGATAAGCAATCAAAATTAAGCGAATCACATAAAACTACCTCTAACTTTTAGTGATAGAATAAAGAAATTTAGACTTAGACAAGTACTGGGAAAACTTTAAAAATCTTAGTAACTACGTGATGATAAATTGTAGTATATGTCTATTAAAATGGAGCTCGGACAATGATAAGAAATTCAAACTAATCAGTGTTGTAAGAAACGTGCTTTACCACAAGATATATCTTTTATTATGAATGAATCAGTGTTAAAATCCTCAAGACAGAACATAGAATGTCAAGTGATTACCTACTGAATATGTCGGTTGTTTGAATTACCATAATTAATGAACATTTGAATGCCATATTATGTGAATCAGCTCTCCCTTTCTATATATATATAACTATCATTATCGATAGGAATGAAGTCAAACGAACTAGATATACGGCGAAATTTTTCCAAGATAGTTTAAAGTGTCAATCTGTTCTCTCTAAATAATTTCGATAGATATTTCTAAACATGTAGAATAAACAGCTTAGTTTCTACGTATGCTTAAAAATCAAGAAAATAAAAAAGTTGAATATCTTATTAGAATTAGTTTCTTTTTGTATTGTTTCACTGATTTTCATATTCAGAAGAAAAAAGAAGAAAACTTTATATCTTGAAATGAAATGCTAATAATTCGATCTATTTTTTAATGATAAGTTGGAACTGTTTACTTTAGATCACTTAGACAAACAGTGAAGAGAATGAGTTGAAATAATACAATTCTCGTCAGTATAAATGTATACAAACAAGCAAAACTATAAAGAAACAAGAAATGTATACTAAAAACATCATTTATAACCATTTCTTTATAACCAATATTAAGAATATATATAATATAGGAATATACAATATATTAAATGAGATATTTATTTATTTAGTTGAACACATAAATATTGGTACAAGAGAGCGCAAATATATATGCGCCACACAAAACAATGAGAATGGGAAGAGAAAAAAGGTAAGAAGCTTAAAGGAAAAAAAAGAACAATAACGAACAGATTAGTGTACGGTAGTGTAATAATAATAATGGGGGAAACGGAAAGGTACAATTAGAAGAAATCTTTCAGTTAAGAAAGATACAACCACTTTTCACGAAGAAAGTAAAAGAAGGTTACAGCACGATCGCCACTGGCTTCTATTCTGAGCCATATCTGATAACGTCTCTAGCCACGGTGTTGCACCATCTCTAGGACCCGAGCCAGCGAGTCGTGAAGGACCAACGCAAGCCAGCCCTTTTCATCTTCCTTTCATATCACGACACCATGTCATACACTGACCACCTCTCCCCTTTTTCCAACCAGTCCCAGAGTCGGCAAATAATGCATGACGTGGAATTCTCTGGGACGACATTCGTACACGTCCAAACCACCGAAGTCGATGTTTCAAGATGGTGACACCAATTGGATTGTCGTCTCTGTGCCCGAACACACGATGCCGAACCTCTGCATTACTAACATGGTGTTGCCAATTGATGTCAGCAATCCTCGGGAGACAGCAATGATCGAACACAGAGAGTCATCTAACATCCTCAACTCGGAGAGGCCAGGTTTCACAAGCATAGAGCAAAACTGCCCTCACCGACGCGTTGTAGATTCGACCTTTTACAGCCAGACTGACATCACGAAGGCGCCAAAGATGGCCCAGATTAGCATAAGCCGCTCTGGCTTTCACTATACGTGTATTGATCTCATCACTCACGCCACCATCAGCACTTATGCAGCTACTTAGATACACGAACTTCTCGACTACTTCTAACTGTTCACCATCCAGAGTGAGTGCAGGATTAGAGTCCTCCCAGTCTTGTAGAAGTACTTTGCACTTCGAAGGTACAAAGCACATACCATACCTATGGACACTGATTGCCAACTGATTAAGTGCGGATTGCATGGCTTGCACATTATCGCACAGTAAGACAAACTACTATTATTGATCTTTAGTGCAACATATATAAGCGAACAATATTGTTTTCGATTAGATCCTCATCAGGATTTACTCTAATATACAGTAATATTCATATGCATATACGAAATTATTAAACCAATCAAAGTAGTTAATGAGTCAACGATAACGATGGGAAAGATTACATAATAAGTGAAAAGTACAAATTGGTAGTGTGATGACAGGTGTACTAGTTGTCATAAGAATAATAAAGGCTTAAATCATTGTTACACAATAGGAAATAGGTCAATGATTAGAAAAATATACAATGAGATAGCATTTATAAAAAATTATAAGATTATTGAACTGTGTAGAAAAAAACAATGACATTCACATAGTGAACAGATAATCTCTTACAGTTTTAATTTACAAAAAAGTAAGTCATTTAAATTCCTGTAAAGTTGAAATATTTTTTTAGTCTTTCAGTTTTAACGTTAATATGACAATTATTACTAACGGATGTTTAAATCAGAATGAGTTTTGTGGAGATTTTAGTAAATTTCACAAGTTGAAATCATGAGTCAGTTGAAGCTAGACCACTATTGAAAACCTGGAAGCACTGGACGGCCGTTTCGTCCTAATATGGGACTCCTCAGCAGTACGCATTCACGATCCCGCACCGCGCGGGGCTCGAACCCAGGACCTACTGGCTTCGCGCGCGAGCACTTAACCATTAGACCACTGACCCGGCATCCAACGGTGTTAATGTCTAACTTCAACCAATCCACGAAGTTGCGCCATCGAACACCAATGTCTTCAGTGAGCTGATATCTCACAACAGACCTGGTTGAACTCCACTGGTGACGGCTTCTCACTAGAACTCCAGAAGGTTCTCCTGAAGTCAGTCACTAGTGAGCAGATGATTATTATCAGAATGAGTTTTGTGGAGATTTTAGTAAATTTCACAAGTTGAAATCATGAGTCAGTTGAAGCTAGAACCTTCTGGAGTTCTAGTGAGAAGCCGTCACCAGTGGAGTTCAACCAGGTCTGTTGTGAGATATCAGCTCACTGAAGACATTGGTGTTCGATGGTCTAATGGTTAAGTGCTCGCGCGCGAAGCCAGTAGGTCCTGGGTTCGAGCCCCGCGCGGTGCGGGATCGTGGATGTTTAAATGTTGAAACATTGGAATAGTAACTAAATAACTTAATTTTTCAACTAATAGGTACTAGGTAGCAGGTTCAAATTTCATTACACTTAATTTGGTTTGAGCAGACGAATAGTACTAGTAACCCGTATAACCTGAAATATATCACGAAATCCAGTGTATAAAACTGTACTTTATTAATGAAGTAATCACAGAAATATGGTAATTGCTGTTTGGATTGTCGATGTGAGTTTCGTCTTCCGCTTAATATATATTACATAGCAATGAATATTTATTTCATCCGTTGGGAATTGAGGCAAGTATTTTTTTATAACAAACAACAACCATCACAATTTATTATTATTAACAAACATTGATCACTGTGTTGAGTGGTTTTAAAGTATACCTAATTGGTTTCAATTTAAATGTGAGCATACAAACAATAACTAACATTTATGTACGATTAGCTGAACGCCACAAAAATGAAATAAAAAATGTATTCCAGAAAACACCGCTAACAGTAATCAAAATTACTACAACAATATCATTAAGACAATCTTTAAAAGAAAATAGGAGAGAGAGAAACAGAGGGGATTAATAAGAAAAAACTTACATCCTTTAATTCATCTAATACTTCTGGAGGTAAGGGTGGACTGCAATCAAGTACATGAAATTCTGGTATAGCTCCATTTAATGGATAATTATCAGGGAATTCTATACTTAATATTATTGAACCAGCTAATGGCATTTCATAGTTATGTGTATTGTTAGTCGTCGAATTTTCTAATTCATGACTATTATCAAAGGTTAAAGTAAATGGGTGATTTGATGGATAATTTGTTAAATGTGTACTCTCTTCATTATCAACACTAACAGCACTATTACTAATGCTAGTCCGATTCGATATTGTACGTTCAGTATCAGTTGTTGATGATAAATTACGATGGTGTACTTTCCAAAAATTTGAATGTTCAGAAAATTCCATTTGTGAAATTAGATCAGCAGTTGGCGGTAATAGTAGACTATCAAGACCTTCATTATTCATTACAGAACTATGACGTCGTCTTCGAAGTGTATTAGTTACTGAACATAAAGAATAATGATGATGATGATTACGACGACAGTAAAATAAAATTAATTTAGCTGTACGATTGATAAGATCCATTTCTTCTAACTTATACTAAAGATATACAAATAAAAGATAAACAACAATATAGTTTAAAAACTATTGGCTAATGGTTACAATAAAAGTTCGAACTAAAAAAAAAGAGTTAACACGTTTCATAAATCCAAAATGATAAAGTCCCTTTTAATTTGTACACATGAAATGTTTGCATAAATTTGATGAATTTCGAATTTCATTGATCTGATGAAGTAACTAATATTGAAAATTTGAGGGATATATGATAACATTGAAGTCGTACAAAACAAATACATATTGACATATAATGCGAATGTACAGTTAAAAATCATTTTATAACAGATATAGTTAATCAAAGCAATTGTATTACTGTAATAGATTTTAATTACTGCAGCTCCAAGTTTTAGAACAAGAAAACTATAGTTTTATGGATGGTATACAACATAGATTAATGAAAAAACTTCTTTCTTATAGTGTCAACACTACTTGAAAATTAACATTTTCCTATAACTTAGAAACCATGTTACACAGTTGTCATATATAAATAACCGTGAAAACAACAAAGAATCATGTTATTAGTTATTCTTTAATATGTTATAACTTATAATTAGCTATCGCTATTTTGTATTATAATCAATGTGATTGAGTTTAAGCTATTAAAACTAGTTTAATTTGTTAACTTTGGTTAGCGTATTTTTAGCAATGTTGTTTTCTACGAGATGAGGATGCTGAACTCATGGCCAACCCTCTTCCGTTACCCGAGCTTGCAACCTGCAGTAGCCCTAGAACAGCTATAGGCGCCGAGAATCGGAAACAGGCATCAAAAGTAGCATCCAGAAAGGATTATACATGACAGAGTTCAACAGAGAATGCTGATGGGTGGCCAATTCTCCTCTACAAAGGGGTAACAGGGGTAAGTAAATAAAACCAGTTTAACAAGCTAATATAATTTTAGAAAACATATTCACGTGGTGTTACGGTAAAGATAAGGTTGCAGACGTTATATATATATATATATGTATTGCAAAAATGTAATTTTCAGAAAGAGATAAATTTTTAAAAGTACCAAACATAGTAATTTCAATAATAATCATTACATCAAAATGCTAAAACATAACTGGATTAACTTTAATCAATTTTCACGTTTTTTTTTCTAACCAAATGTCGTTTAATTAAATTTATCATAGGAATTTATGGAAATATACCTTTTAAAAGCGGTAGGCGGAGAATTTTCACTGTCTACTAAACGTATTTGCAATATTAAAAGGAACGTTTTACAAGAGATGAATGTCAATTTTTATGCTTTTAGTTGCTACGCTGAATAGTATATTATATGTATATTATATCAACTATGGAGACATACACATTGATAAATTATATTTCATCTAACAATGTAAATTTGCTTTTAAAAAATACTATGTGTATTATCGATATGCTTGAATAATTTACAGTGTATAATAAATAAATTTAAACCGTTATTACCCAATACATCCTGATCATTTGATAAATTTTAATAAGGTGAGAACAAAAAGATATTCAGAATAAAATGAATTCATTATATTTTCAGGCTTTTCATCAGTTATAAACGGCCATTATTTTTATTGATATAAAGTGTATGATAATGGACTTATTTGTGGAGCTGACACTTAGTGATTTCAGCCAATAAATCAAAGAACGTGAAACATTGAAGCAGCTGCTGAAGTACAAAAAAGCAAGGTTTAACACATTGACTACCTATAGACTAGTACATAATCCTGTACATGGTTGCTAAGTTACAATTTTGTCTTCAAATAGCGTAGATATCCCATTGAAGGAAAAGATTTCAACGAAATATAAAACATTATTCATGCTAGTAATACTAATGGTTATAACACAACAGTATGATAGGGGCGAATTACTGAAATTGTCGAATAACTAATGTTTCAGTTGGTATAATTACCATAATAATAACAACAGTAATAGTAATAAAGTAGAAATATTAGTTCATTTACTTTCTACTTACATAACAATAAATAAATGGCAACAGCAGCAAATAAAAAAATTGACATTTAAAAATGTATATTAATAACATCGATAAAATATCATGACTGGGATTTACATATCATGTGTAATGCTAATTACTGTGATTAATTTTATTATACTGTTTCTTTTCTCTTCTCTTTTGAATACTGACAATGAAATATCACAAATTTTATGACTAAAACCCATAGGGAAGGGCAAACAACAAACAATGTAGGAAATGCTTTAGTGTAGAGAATGAATTCCCCAGAATTCACATCTGTACATCGACCTTGATGTAGGGCAGTTAGAGGTAGTCATCAGGAAATTCTGGTCTCAGTTTGGTATTAGTTAGTACATGTCACTAAGGCATACCTGTAATCATAAGAGAAAAAATTGTTCTTCCTAGTGCATTCGAATTCGGGTAACCCAAGTTCAGTCTACAAGGTGATTATCGAAATATTTTAATCAAAACGGAATAGCTGTAAGACAGATATTTGCATTGACTGATTACTGCGTAGAGGTTACATGAGAATACTATCGAACTAATCATTTGCCACTACTCAGTGAACAACCATCGTACGTATGCGGACTTTGATATTGTACATTCTTCTAGCTATCCTAACTCAGAAGGGCATTCGCAAGTACGAAATGTTGTATGAATATCGTATCAGCATCTATCGTTTTACTATTTACAGATTGTTGCAGTGGTGAGCGACGAAAGCGAAAGAGATGGAAAAGGCGGCGGCTAAAAGAAACACAAGACAGCTCTACAGACTAATAAAAGAAACTGGAATTAATAAACAAAGTGTAAGTCAGACTATTTCGGAAAAAGACGACACCCTCATCTGCTCTCAGTCCAGACGTTTAGAACGATGGGCGGAACATTTCAGAGAACAGTTCAGCTGGCCTTCAGCTACTCTACAGCTACCCTCCATCCCCAGACAGTGTGAATGGGACATTGAAGTAGGTCCCCCAACTCAAGCAGGAGTTCAAAAGGCTATAGTTATTCTGAAACGAGGAAGGGCAGCTGGTCCAGATGGATTGGCTCCAGAGGTCTTTAAGGATGGTGGTCCAATTTTAGCGTAAGTGAGATTATATCGGAAAAAGACGATACACTCATCTGCTCTCAGTCCAGGCGTTTAGAACGATGGGCGGAACATTTTAGAGAACAGTTCAGCTGGCCTTCAGCTACTCTACAACTACCCTCCATTCCCAGACAGTGTGAATGGGACATTGAAGTAGGTCCCCCAACTCTTGCTGAAGTTCAAAAGGCTATAGTTAATCTGAAAGGAGGAAGGGCAGCTGGTCCAGATGGATTGGCTCCAGAGGTCTTTAAGGATGGTGGTCCAATTTTAGCGATTAGGTTGACTAATATTTTAGCTAAGATCTGGGAGTTAGACGTTATTCCATCTGACTGGTCGCAATCACTTGTCGTACCAATATATAAGAAAGGGTCAAAATCATCCTGTGACAACCACAGAGGGATTAGTTTAACAAATATAGTATCTAAAATACTAGTCTCGATAATTATCAGACGCTTACCTAGGACTCGTGAACTGCAAACACGAGAGCATCAAGCTGGCTTCAGACCTGGTCATGGCTGCATCGACCACATATTCACCATTCGTCAGGTTCTAGAACACAAACATGCTTATCAGCGTCCGACAATGGTGGTCTTTCTCGACTTAAAAGCAGCATTTCACTCCGTAGACCGCGAGATTCTGTGGCAGTGTCTGTCATCGAAAGACGTACCTCAGAAGTACATAAACCTTGTGAAGGTTCTTTACTCGAACACTACTAGTCGAGTCAGAGATTATGGCGAACTATCATCTACTTTTGCAACCTCAAGTGGTGTCCGTCAAGGCTGTCCACTTTTCTCATTTTTGTTTAACTTCATCATAGATCTACTGATGGAAATAACTTTCTCGTCGACTGAATTCTCGGGTATTGATCTCCTACCAGGAGGTCCACTTATCGACTTAGAATACGCAGATGACATAGTCCTGTTTGGTGAAGACGCTGATAAAATACAGTCTTCTGGTAGCACTAAGCAACAATGCCAGTATGTTTGGAATGCGCTTCTCTCCCTCGAAATGCAAGTTGTTGCTTCAGGACTGGTCTGCGTCAACACCTGAAATAAGGATAGGCAGTGACGTAGTCGAACGCGTTGACAACTTCACTTATCTTGGAAGTCTGATCAGCCCTAATGGGTTGGTGTCTGACGAAATATCTGCACGGATTCGAAAAGCTCGTTTGGCTTTTGCCAACTTACGTCACCTGTGGCAAAGGCGAGATATCCGTCTATCAATAAAAAGACGAGTATACTGCGCGTCAGTTCGTTCTGTTTTACTTTACGGCAGCGGAACGTGGCCATTAAGAGTAGAAGACGCTCGTAAGCTACTAGTATTTGACCAAAAATGCCTTAGAAATATTGCTGGCGTCTGCTGGGATCACCGGGTAAGTAATAGTGAGATTCGACACAGGTTATTAGGGAATGATGGTAAATCAGTTAATGAGGTGTTAGAGACGTATGGAAGAAAGTTAGGGGCGGCCAAACCAAAACGTGGCATCAATTTTGGTGGAGTTTTGTTCTCTGAGCTGGATGGTTTGGTCGTGGAGCTTTCATCGTTCTTCTGAACGACATCATCAGCACAAACTTCAGATAGAAGTGAAGTGTTTGAATTTAAGGTCAATAAGAACCAATTAACGTCGAGGTGCACAGAACAAGCTTTGAGACACATATGGAGAAATTCAAACACTTCACTTCTATTTGAAGTTTGTGCTGATGATGTCGTTCAGAAGAACGATGAAAGCTCCACGACCAAACCATCCAGCTCAGAGAACAAAACTCCACCAAAATCATCCACTTGAGCTACAAATCTTCTCCACCATCTCACGTGGCATCAATGCTTGAAGTCACTAACTTCTAGTCTGAGACATGTTTGTAGATGCAGAATACTTTGTTGGGTCCACGTGACTATCGTAACCAATAGTTGGAGACTCTGGATAACATGGCTCAAAATCAATCACAGTGGAGTAGGTGTATACACTCTCTGTATTCCCTTCAACCGTGAGACTAAAATCCCTTTCTATCTTTCTTTCTTTCTACCAACTAATTCTTTTTTCCTGTACTATATCCTTATATGCAATCTTTCTTTCATATATTGCTAACATTGAAGTGACTACTATGAATTCGGTGTTAATCTTGTTGTGCTAATGAGGTATGGCAACTTGGACTGATGCATATATGTGCCTGGTCCTACGTTGTAGCTGACTGACTGACTGGGATTGTTGGAAAATTACTGGTAATTAAACAATGTTAAACTACTCAACATTGAACAAGTAAAAACACAGAAAGGAATATCACTTCAGACATTCTCTACGAACAAGCTGGTAACCGTGTTATCCAAGAAATCTGTCTGTACAATAATGGCTCGTGTGAAGAACGGGACAACAAGTTATTCGGGTTCCTCACAAATAACCCTTCATATGTACCATAGACGATAAGCACTTTATCAACGGAAGAATAGATTAATTATTGTTGACTTTGTCCTACATTTCCCACTTCAGTCATCTGATGCATTCATTTCAACAAAGTAATATCATTTATCATTTTTCCGTAAGATTTTACAACTGAAAACACCGTCTAAATCAAGGACTACAACTGACAACATCAGTTACAACTATACAACATGATCAGTTTTTTTAATTTTTTCGACAACACACAGAACTTTATCTATTAAATTAAGAAATTAACATTTGTAATGGTTAGATTTGACATTATAATTCCATATAAAAACCAACAAAAATTTCATTTCGATCATTATTAGTTGCACCAACCAAAACATTTGTTCAATGTTCATAATCTTTTAACCACATTTTTAAATGTTTAACGGAACGAGTCATTCGTATAAAATCTGAAGTGTAAAATATTAGTGAATTTATCTTGTGAAAAGTATAGCAATGATATGAATTAGATCTAAGGAATATATCCAGTAATAAATATAAACTTACTTGTCCAGCTCTATGGCTTAACAGAGATAATTCTTGAGCGAGAAATTGGAATGCACTATCTTCTTGATTTCCACCTACAACAACAAGAAAGTCATATATATACATAAATCATTATTATACTTTTCAAAAAGCTTTCAAGCGATTGTAATAGTTCCAGCAATCAATTTGGTTAAAAATAAATTAGAGACATAGTGATGTCTGGGCCAATGTTCAACAAAGAAAAGCAATAAATATATTGATTTGTTGCGATCAGTTATAAATAACTGGTTTGTCTCATAACTAACCTAACAAAAAAATGCTATTTAGGTGACTCCATGGACGGGATCTCTGAAAACAGCTTTCTGGAGGATCTCGCACTAATTTATTGAGACACATATTTCGACAGTGTTCATGAAACATTTAAATAGTACAATAATGTATTTTTTAATGAATGTAAAACATATATGTAAATTTACTTAGAGCCCTCCTAGAGTTAATACTGGTCCCAAGTCCTGATAAAGGAGGTTTAGAGAAAAGGTTGATAACTCCATCCCGTAGAAAAAAACCTTGCCAAAAGGCGCAATTGTCTCTAGATACCAGAAGGTGTTGCACATGAACTAATGAAATTTTGGTACGATTTAGTGATTAAGTACAGATAAAGTTTTGAGACATACTTATTTGAAAGATAGTAATACTACACGAGTTCCAAACGGAAGTGAAATGGTAGTCAAAATGGTTGAATTTAGAGTGTTTTAACCATAAATTCACTACTTTTGGGAATTATTAGCACCATAGTACAGAAAATGAGCATTGTGAGTTATACTACTTCTACAGCTAATATTAATAATAACTATAATTATAGTGATGATAATAATAATAGGGATGATGATGGTGAGAATCTACAAACAGCATTTATTTTGGGAGTGCATCAGCGAATTTATTTTATTGACAAATTTGAGCAGGAAGAACAGTATATATAATCGTAAAAGTTAATTCAAGAATGAAATAAAAAAATCACTTGGAACAGGTCAAACAAACTTATTTAGTATTGAAGATACTTATAAAATTTCTTTTTCATAATATAAATATATGTTGAAGAATTAGCATCATAACATACATTTAGGATCTGCATTCGATCCACTTTTCGAAATAGATAAACATGACTTGGAGACAGAAGAACGTTGGCCAAAATCTTCACCACGATGTTGCGGGTCAACAACCTGCTTTTTTCAACATAAAAGAAAATGATCTAAATAAAACTACTCAAATTGAGATTGATAAACGTCAGACTGTAAGAAACTTCAAATTGCGTATATCATTCAAGATGTAATTGAGTTTAATAAAATTCCTGACAACTAAGCATTCATTAGTTGTGAAGTGGTACCGGTCAATATACCGATCGAGATGGAAGATCCGTGTTTCATAGTAAAATATCTAGTTTTTCTACACAAACACATTTTTTGAAAACCAAATAAATTCGACTATAAATCACTAGTGAATGGGATCAAACAAGTTTAAAATAAAACTGTTTTCTAATGGATCACGTTCCTTGGTGCGCTAAGTAAGTTAGGCTTTCAGCTAAAAATGGTTGCATTCATGTTTGGTGCTAACATGAATTAGTCAGTCATGACCAATGTAGTATCTGTCATAAATTCGAGTCAGTAAACGTTTCCATATCATATCATCAATGCAAGACGGAATTATCAAGACAAAATAGCAAAAGCTAAGATAACGATAGTATTCACTGGTGGCTTTTTTCGACAACATATTTCTACTTCAGTTAGCATTGTAAATTGAGGTAGGAGGTGGTTAGGCATATGTGACACATCTCAAACTTTTATGGTCGATAAAAAATTCCCAGATTAATTAACCGACTCACAATCTTTGCCTGATGTTAGTGTAAGTTTAACCTTACAATCGGTCAGCCTATTATTCTGTTGCATACGATTAACAGGACAAAGACACTAATATTAAAAATTTTCACATGTATTCCTAGTAAAAAAATTTCAAAAAGGCTGGAATATTATATAAAGGAAATCAATATTTGGTAGAATTGTAACCGAAGTAATTAACAAAGACGTGGACTCTGTTGAAATGTCTTAGAATTAATTTTAAAAAAGGTCTATTATAAAAAGAATATTAAACATTGGATAAAGTTTTCCTAACTTCTTAATTTAACGATAAGTCGATTATTAACAATGTCAGACCTGGCACAAATGTGAATCAGTTCAAGCCATAACACTTTTTATAAGTAAAACAAGAAAAAATCAGCAGCTTGAGAAGTAAAAAGATAGAAAATTGCAATGTTAGAATTTTGGTAATAAACAAATAAGATTTAAAATGAAATATAAAAACTGACCTGATCACACTTATCTCAAAGTGCGAAGGCTGAGTTAACAAATACAAAACTACAGAAACGTTAGTATGATTCATTAGTATAAGTTTACTTTCCAAAAACTGTGTAACGGTGTTCTTAAAGAGTCAAGAAATAATTTATTAACCAAATGGAAAGAGATCTAAATGACTGTATAAAGTAATAAAGATATTCGTTTTATACTCAATAGTGAATAAATTGATTAAGATTAGCTGAATTATAATTTCCCGTGTTATTTGAATAAAATAACTTACTACCGACAACTTATGATGTAACTATACTCTACTAGTTACATAGACTGTGTAGAAAACATGCCTTGCTTTTGAACTTCTAGATGTTTATCAATAATTATCTTTGAAAAACATGATGTTTTGTCGAACAATATATAGTTAATTACATAATTATACAAATAAACATAGATAACCTTTAGTTTATTTAAATTGTTTGTCGAAGTATTACTAAACTTCTTTGATTGATTTGTCTTTGGATTGAAATTCGTTGATAATTTATCATCTAATAAATCTTCCGATTTTTCTTTTATTATCCTTGTTTGTTTATTTGCTTGATTTGATAATGGTTCATTATCATGATGTGAAATTGATTTAAAATGAATTGGATAAACACGAAGTATATTATCCATTGACCAAGTAAGTAAATTTACATTTTCTAAGTATAAATGTAAAAGAAACAAAATAAATTAAGCAAATTTATTATTATTTTGTAAGACAAATAAATTCTGGTAAGTAGTTTGATTTGGATTGAATTATTAAATTAGTAACCTACAACATAAGATAAATGCTAAAGGGGAGTGCTGTAAATGAAGCACTCTCAAAGAGATTTAACTTAATAAACTTAATTTAATAACAAACAAAACTATTAACCTGCTTTGAAATCGATTTCTAGAGTTTAAGTAAGAAATTGTAACTAGAGGACAGTATATCCATTTTAGAAACAAAATAGTATTTGTTATGTGATATCGTGAATTGATTGAATCCAGAAATATGGATAACTGAATGGAAACTTATGTGTTTAAGTAAATTATGTTCATCATAAGATTAGAATGTCTTAAGTTTTAGTGTATATTGGTAATATTCATAGATGTGAACAGATAGTGAAAAACAACTGAAACGAAACAGCTTTTTCAAATGATATCACTTAATAATAAAACTTGTCAACAAAATGCAAATAATTTTCCTTGAAAAAGCTTGGACCAGATTGCCAGGCGAAACGTTGTATTTACTTCAAATTCTTTCGCTGAGATTTTACAAATACCTTCTTCCTTATTAATGTCTCACATTAACTCGGCGCCCAAATATTGTGGAAATGCAAATAGTCTTTGTAAATTACAGAAGTAAACAACAATATAAACGTCGTAAACAGAGGAGAGAATCAAAAGGAATAAAATGATTTATATTGGGTGTCGAAAGAAATAATGAGGAAAATTAAAATGCTTGAAGTTTGAAAAAAAAACGGTAAGAATTAGAAGGATAACAGTGAAGTAAAAAAAGGAATAGTAACCCAATCAAAAACTATAATTACAATGTAGCTACATGATTTAAGGATGGTTCTTTTTAAGTTGACATGATTCTTGTCACATATACACTTAGCTTGTCCTTATTTTCTAAATACTTTATGTACAGTTCTTTTTTATACTGCGTTTAAAAAAATATGTACTATGTGTTTGAATAAATAGACTGGATAATAAGATTGCATAAATGGTAACAGTAGTGATTATCCATTGATTAATTGCATAGGGTTTCATTAAGAAGCATGTCTCGAAAGATAGATATAAATATTTATGAAGTGAATAGTAATTAATTAATTATTATCTAAACAGTTAATCATATCTTTTAGAATGATTGTTATATTGTTGCATTTTTAAAAACTGCAACAATTAGAAGAAAAAATTCAAAGTGATCCATTAAAACAATGAAAATTAATCAACTAAAAAAAAAAGAATATCTACACTTTATTTGAAATTAAATTGACTTTTGATAAATCAAGAAGAAAATACAAATAATCAAAATTTAATTATGTCGATGACAATTAGTTATTACAAATGAAAATTTCAACTAAACTACTTGTTAGGAACAGTTACAGAATACTTCTGATTATTAATGTTAACTTGGTCTTGAACAATTGTTACTTAATGCCTTATTTCTTTTATTATTGGTTTTGATGAAAAACATAATTTTATCAATATTGTAGTATCAGATGGGTTTTGTGGATATTATAGTAATTTAAATGGTTAAGATCAAGAGTCAGTTGAAGCTAGACCACCATGGAAAACCTGGAAGCACTGGACGGCCGTTTCGTCCTATTGTGGGACTCCTCAGCAGTGCGCATCCAGGACCTGCGAGATTCCAACCCAGGACCTACTGGTTTTGCGCGCGAGCACTTAACCACTAGACCAATGAGCCGGTATCCAACGGTGTTAATGTCTAACTTCAACTAGTAGTAGTAATTAATAAGGTTACAGTTTGATAATCTATAATTTCAAGTTAGTTATAATAATCAGACAATATTGTTCAGATTAGTTAAAACCATGATTTTATATTTACCGGATTAAAATAAATTTTTATATATGAAACAAATAAAACTTTAAACAATAAAGAGAAACATTCATAAGTTTGATAATGGAACTTACAAATGAGTACTCAAGTGGAAACTGTCAACTACATTAAATATATGTAGCTAAACGAAAGTATAAAAATTAACCTTAGATGTTAAAGAACGATCGTTTACACTCTACCTATATTTGTGCCACATGAAACAGTACATAGAGTTGAAGGTAAATGAATTTCAGAAAATCATACAGAAGACTTTAGTAAAGGATTTTCAACCTACACTAAAGCTGTGGAATCAATAAACTATTTTTATTCACAGGCAATGTCAAGTATACCACACAGTAAAGCATTCTATACTAATGTGTGACTGAGACATGATAGTTGACGTTGAACGAATAAAGATTACATTTGCGAAATATTCTTTGGATTTGAGTGAATAACTAATGTTATAAGAACATTCAATAGGAACTGGTAGTATTCTCACAGCCAAGAATGTTTTTGTGTGAAGTTGTGAATACACAATGATTGAGTCAAGTGATATGTGTTTTATACGTGTATCTACACTCTAAATTTAAATAAGAAATAAAGCAAAATGGACCTATCATGGATAGAGTTGCAGTAAAATGAAATTGTACTAATTCACGAAATGAATGGAACTGGTAAACGATCATTTTAATAGACGGAATTCAATCAAAGGCATAAAGCGGTGTTTGCTGAAAAAGCCAACCATTAAATTAAAGTGAATTCGTAATATTAAATGATAAAGTGGTTGAAACATTCGAATTTTAAACAGTAGGGTGAAGATTGAGAATAACGTTCCAGCAGTTCGGATTGGATAGCCGGGTAATACCATTAGCCTTGAAATCCAAAGCGCAAACAAATCCTGATGCACAAGAATGTATACTAAAGTATATAAAAAGTGTAATTTGATTATTGCTTAACATATACACATATCAGATAAAAAAGAATAGGACAACCTAAAAAATAGATGTAAAAAGAAAATGAGATATTCCTTCTCACTAGATAACTGTAAACAATAAAAAAAACTATTAACGTTAAAAATTTTCAATATTCTATTTAACAACATTTTATAACTCTCTTGATTGATTATCAATAACTTGAAACATTTTCCAGTATAAAGAAGAGAAAAACAAAGTACACACTAACCGTTAAATTGAGTAGAATGGTATAAACCGCATAAAATATTATTGCATCATAAGGCCAAAATGATATATATATATATATATATATATATATATATATATATATATATATATATATATATAATGTTAACTCAGTTATAAATAAAAACGACATTTCATGACGTATTAAAATACAACTACTTATATTTCTAGACCCTATTTTTTAATTATTGATGAAATTATCAGTACGGGTGTTGCAGAGATTATTAGGTTTTTGATTTAGATCATAAACCGATTGATGTTAGACCACCATTGAGAACCTGGAAGCACTAGACGGCCGTTTCGTTCTATTGTGGAACTCCTCAGCAGTGCGCATCCACAATCCCGCTCGCGGGATTCGAACCCAGGGACTTCGGTCTCGCGCGAAAACTCTTAACCTACTGGATGATTACATATATGTAGTGCATATTGAGTCACATTAAAATTATGGGGGAATAAGGAACAGATTTACCGTTTCCATCACATGAACAGTAAAGAAAACAGTAACAATAAAACTACTATGAACACCATTTTGATAACATAAACAGAAGAAATTAATAACAACAAAAATGATATAGAACGATTTATTTATTTATTGACGTACTTTTAGGACAATATTCTAAATTTTGATTTGCTGTCGATATTTCATTATCCAGAATAAAATTTGTCGTTAATTCATGATCATCTGTCGTTGTCAGTGGAGAAAATGGGAGATTTGAAGAGGAGCATATCAACCAATTCATATCTAATATATATGAATCTGTAGAACGTGGTTGACAAATCTGCTGATCATTTATGTGATTATTATTACTATTACCATTATTATTATTGTTTGAATTCACTATACTATTAGCAGACGTTTTATTGACAGTAATTCCATTGTTATTAGTGTCACTATTATCATGGCTTTCCATTACTTGGAATAAATCATGAGATTGTGTCAAACCAGCACTAGACCACACAGATATCCCGTGAACTGACCAATGAGACTGCTCCGGTAAAATAATAATATGATCACCTGAAGGCTAGAAAAAAGAATACAAAGAAGTATTAGTAATAGTAACAATAATAACAATAATTTTAATATGTAAAATATAAATAATATAAGAAAAGGTATGAATAAAAACTTGGTAAAAAAGCTCTAACTCAGGGTAAAATAAAAAATGGTGGGGACTATACATAAAACAGCAGGTATTATATTACTTAAAACAAGAATGGTCCATTGTGAACATGTGATTTACAGATTTGTAGCTAGGTAAAAGCTATTATACTCGGTTTTGAACCAAACTTTATAGTGCTGTCAAAAATGAAGTGGTTGGATATTGATTTAAAGCACTACCTAAACTGTTGACAGTCCTGTACTTCAACCTTCAAGTCATCGCACAACTAATGGGTATCATATAAGCTTATATGGTTGATATTCACACAGGGTGCAACACTCTCAAGGAAACTCTTTATAAACAAGTGGTACAGTAAGTTTCTACAACTGTAAAGGAACAATAAACAAATATTTACATGGTCGCAAAGTTCTGAAAAGCTCTTATTTCATACTTCATGAATTTAATCGTAACCAATACTCCACTTGTCTAAAATCAATTCTCATTCGTGAACTTTATGAGAAGTATTTGCTATAAATTCACAGAAGTTAGTATCAATCAAAACTAGGGAGCAATGGATCGATGTTTCGTCTCAAAATCTATCAGTCATGTAATATCATTAGACTTCATACAACAGATGTTCATCGCGAAACTACAAACAATACAGACGACAAATTAAGTAACTAGTAAATTATAAACTTACAGTGTAAATTACTTTCTTCAGTTTTATTTCATGAAATCGGACCTTTTTCAGAGGATATGAAGGATTTTCAGTATCCCATAGACGCATTTCAGAATATTCACTGACTGTCACCATTTGATTGACATTCTGAGGCGACCAATCGAAATCACGAACGTGATCAGCTTGTACAGAGATGTACTGTTCTGGAACATTAGACTGAGTTTAAAATGCATAGGAAAAATGGTTAAAAATAGTTAACAAACCGTTTAAATAATAAATTATTGTACGGAACATATTAACTGTATACAAACTAATCCTGTACATAGGTATTCAGGTCTGGGACTTCAAGATGGGAGACCAAACAACCCTGAACAAGTTCAAATTTTTACGCTTCAAAATAATGCAGAAAAATTAAAACCTAATGGAAAGCTAACAGGAACGATATAGGTTGTTAACGAAAAAGGAATCCAAGTAAAGACCGGAGTCAGACAAGGCTGTCTACACTCTCCCTTCCTCTTTCTTCTGATGGTCGACTGGATAATAAAGATCTCGATATCTGAGAGGAAACATGGAATACAATGGACAGCTCGGGATGAATTAGAGGATTTGGATTTCGCAGATAACCTAGCCCTCCTATCGCATACACACGAAGAGATGCAGACAAAGACAGCCAGTGTAGCAGCAGTCTCTGCATCAGTAGGCCTCAACATACACAAGGGGAAAACCAAGGTCCTCACATTCAAAGCGGAGAACAGCAATCCAATCACCCTTGATGGCGAAACTCTGGAAGTTGTAGAATCCTTCACATACCTATCTGGGAAGCATAATAGATAAACAAGGAGGTTCAGATGCAGACGTAAAGGCGAGAATTGGCAAAGCATTCCAACAATCGGAGAACATATGGAACTCAAAACAACTTTCAATCAATATCGAAATCAGAATCTTCGATACCAACATCAAGGCAGTTCCACTGTACAGAGCTGAAACATGGAGAACCACAACAACCACTGTCAAGTAGGTACAAGTATTTATAAATAGCTGTCTACGCAAGTTACTCAACATCCATTGGTCCGGTACCATCAGCAACAGCCTTCTGTGGGAGAGAACAAACCAGTTTCCAGCTGAAGAAGAAATTAGGAAAAGACGATGGAAATCGATAGGACATACATTACGCAAATCGTCAAACTGCATCACGAGGCAAGCTTTAACTTGGAATCCTGAAGCGAAGCGGAAAGGAGGAAGACCAAAGAACACATTACGTCGGATAATAGAAGCAGATATGAAAAGGATGAATTACAACTGGAAGGAGCTGGAAAGGATTGCCCAGGACAGGGTTGGATGGAGAATGCTGGTGAGCGGCTTATGTTCCTTCATAAGGAGTAACAGGCGTAAGTAAGGAAGGGGATCAAAGAGGTAATCACTTCAACATGTCATGAGGTCCTGTGCTACAAGAAGCACCATCACAAAGAATGGATCACTGTTGATACACTGGATAAGATTCAAGAAAGACGGAACAAGAAGGCAGCAATCAATACCAGTCGAACAAGAGCAGAAAAAGCCAAGGCACAGAATTAAACAAACAAGTGAAGAGGAACATCAAAACTGACAAACGTAAATATGTGGAAGATTTAGCAACGACGGCGGAAAAGGCTGCACGAGAAGGAAACATGAGACAATTGTATGACACGACAAAGAAACTCTCTGGAAATCGCTGCAAACCAGAACAACCAGTGAAAATCAAGGAAGGCGAGGTAATCACCAACATTGACGAGCAACAAAACAGGTGGGAAGAACACTTCAAAGAACTCTTGTATTGACCAGCTCCACTGAACCCACCCAACATCGACGTAGCACCCACGGACATCCCAATCAATGTTAGCCCACCAACAATTGAAGAAATCAGCATGGCCATCAGACAAATCAAGAGTGGCAAAGCAGCAGGACCGGACAACATCCCAGCAGAGGCACTAAAAGCAGACGTAGCGGCAACTGCAAGGATACTCCACATTCTCTTCAATAAGATTTGGGATGAGGAACAAGTACCAACAGACTGAAAAGAAGGACTCCTGATCAAAATACCGAAGAAAGGCGATCTCAGAAAGTGTGATAACTACAGGGGCATCACTCTTCTCTCAATACCGGGAAAAGTCTTCAACAGGGTATTGTTAAACAGAATGAAGGACTGCGTAGACGCCCAACTTCGTGACCAACAGGCAGGATTCCGTAAGGATAGATCGTGTACAGACCAAATCGCAACTCTACGGATCATTGTGGAACAATCAATTGAGTGGAATTCATCACTCTACATCAACTTCATTGACTACGAAAAGGCATTTGATAGCGTGTACAGAACAACACTATGGAAACTTCTTCGACACTACGGCGTGCCTCAGGAGATAGTCAATATCATACAGAACTCATAAGATGGATTACACTGCAAGATTGTGCATGGAGGACAGTTGACAAAGTCGTTCGAAGTGAAGACCGGTGTTAGGCAAGGTTGCTTACTCTCACCCTTTCTCTTTCTCCTGGTGATCGACTGGATCATGAAGACGTCAACGTCTGAAGGGAAGCGCGGGATACAATGGACATCTAAGATGCAGTTGGATGATCTAGACTTCGCAGACGATCTGGCCCTTCTATCCCAAACGCAACCACAGATGCAGGAGAAGACGAACAGTGTGGCAGCAGCCTCAGCAGCAATAGGTCTCAATAT